TTATTTTGCAGTCCAAAATAATTCAGCAGTTTATTTTTTAAATGAACATTTGATTAAATATTTTTATCTAAAAAAATTTCACAAAACTGTTATTTTGCCATCCAAAATTCAGCAGTCTTTCTAAATAAAAAAATAAACAAACTAAATCTATATTTTTATGTTAAAATTTTAACATTTAAAAAAAATAGCTGCCACAGTACTAGAACATTTCTATGCAGTAGTTAAGGTGTTCTGAGAGTTTTTTGCATGTTGCTATGCGGTGGGTTGTTGCTAAGACATTGCTAGATCCTTGCACAATGCACTGTGCACTAAAATGTAAGAAATAGACCAAAACCCTTTGAAACATGCTTTTAAGAACTGAACTGCTTATTTTGAAACTGAATTGTTTAATTGACATGCCATCTTTAAACTGTGGTGCTCATTATGCTGGAATAACAGCAAAAAATGTTGTAACGGTCAAAACAAGCACTGCTACATTATTAAAAGTAAAGGTTCATTATTGGCATCTACAGAAATTTCCATTCCACAAAGGTTCTGGAAACGGATGGAAAACGTTTTTTATTTAGATTTATTTTATTTTATTATTTTTTTTAGATTTTTAAAATGTTCTTCACTCTGAAAAAATGGTTTTCTTAAAAACGGTTAATTGAAAAGTTCTTTGGGGAACCAAAATTGGTTCTATACGGAAACACTGCACAAACCTCCTCTTGAAAACTTTATTTTTAAGAGTGTAATGAAAAAATATATCAGTTCCTCTGAGAATGAAATAGTGCTTTAGACTAGTTTTTCCCCAGTATTTGTGAGGGTTCTTCTTATCTGCTGTGCTGACAGAAGGTCAGCTGAACATCTGAGATATCTCTACAGCTCAAACCATCACGGGTGCTTTAACCTAAAGGCTAATTGCTCCTGGAGCCGAGAACAGTGACATCCGTGAGCCCGTCACATCTCTCAACGTCATGCATGACCTTTCAAAACAAGGAGAGAGGAAAGTGACATTGTTCCCATGAGCATGACAGAATAAAAGTGGGAAGAATTTTAACATAAACTCTCCAGTAACCTATTTTGCAAAATGCAAACACATTTTCAGTAAACGCTGTTTTGTGTTTTACTTGAAAGTCAATCAAACCTTCCTTTTATAAGCACAAAGAAACTTTGGAGACCTTTAGTTTGACCTTTAACCTTTGGAACCTGTGATTAGGGTAAAGACCATTTGACGTCTTTTATTTTGGAAAATAACAAGCAGGTTTTAACATTATATTTGTGGAATGCTGTAATGACAGAAGCCCCATCAATAGTCTACAGCAAAACAAAATCAGGAAAGCTGATTCAAATGATGGTAAAGTCTCATGAGTTCTTCCTGTTTTTCCTTTAACCCCTATAAAACTACATACAAATACTCACTCACACCACAATGATGAATCTTAAAGGAATAGTTCACCTTTAGTTGCTGGTCCACATTAGGGCCTTTCACACCGCTTTAGTTCCAATGATTTGTCCAGTGAACAAGATTTTTTCAAATACAGTTATTTTACTATTTTGTTAAACAAATATAGTTTAAATCAGGCATAATATATAAGGAGACAACTTCTAATTGTTTTTTTTTAATACATTTTTTTAAAACTTTATTATTATTATTTTTTTTGGGGGGGGTCTCTGACAAATGCAATGAATACTAACAGTAAATGCTCATAGTATCTATTTTATGACATCAATTTGCAATGTAGAAAACGAACTGAGAAATATGGAAATCGCGCCACCTGCTGGAATTTCATGACAATGTGTTGTTTATTATGTGGCTTAAATCACCAACACAGAATGTGCTTAATTATAGATAATTATATATGTTTCTCTAACCATATTCTCAGACAATTAAACAGCTATTTTGTAAAGGTTCAGCTGGAGCAAAATTATCTATTGGTAAATTCTTGCAAGCAATTTTTTTAAAGATATTAGTTTAGTTATTATTACAATTATTAAAAAGCTGTGGTAACAACCCTGAAAATAAATAAATATTTAGCAAAAAAAAAAAGATTTTGCAGTAGTAACAGTTATTGCAGCAAGTATATTCTGGTGGACAACATGGTCACCATAATGGGGTATTGCAACCAATAATAATAATAATAACAAAAGTAGAATAAAAAACAGAGGGTAATATTGAACAAAAATGCAGCAGACTGCTTGTGAAAAAAACCTAATGAGAATTTTGTTTTAAGTCAATGAATTACCCTAAAAAACAAACCGTTAATATTTCAGTCGTAATTAACAAGATATTTATTCCCATTATCTTCAGTTTATCTAATTAGCATCACTATACAGTTTACTGGCAGACAGCTTTGAGTAACAATCTGAGTCAAAAACTGAAGTATACATTGGGTATAAGCCTACAGGCAAAGAAGATTAAAATGTAGTATGAATAAATCATCTTGTCACAGGAAGTGAACTGAGGTAAAATGTAGTATGAATAAATCATCTTGTCACAGGAAGTGAACTGAGGGGAAATAATTTTAAGTGAAGAATAAGAGAAAAATTGTGTCACACTTGTGTGACTCACCAGCAGCTTTCTCTGAGCTCAGAGCCAGATCAGCACTGTAAAAAAAATCTGTGACATTTACGGTAAAATACCGGCAGCTGGGGTTGCCAGAACTTCACCGTAAAAAAATATGGTAGCAACATTTTAGGTTTTACAGACTTAACTTAAATTGTGTGTGTGTTCACTGCTGTGTGTGTGCACTTTGGATGGGTTAAATGCAGAGCACTAATTCCAAGTATGTCACATGTCACGTCACTTTATACTAAGGTGCACACAGTGTCATTCACACAAACACTAAACACCATCATGGTGACACACGATACTGAAATAATGCAATAACATTAATTTAACAACATTAGATGTAAGATAAAACCCTAAAAAAACTAAGAAGAAACAGTTATTTAAAAAAACAAAACAAAAAAACCCATAAAATATGAAGTGTCATGCAAGGAATTCTGGGAGTGTCAATTTACGTTTTTTCACTGTAAATTATACAATGACTTTTTCTTTTTCACTTTCAAAAAACATATTTTTAACAGTATTTTACTGTAAAATTACATTAAATTTAATTACATTTATTCACCGTACATAGTATGGAAACTTACTGTTAACCAATTAACAGGTTTTTACTGTAGCATTTTTACAGTCTTTTACTGTTAAAATCACAATCATTTTTTACAGTGTGGGCTTATAATCTCCAACTTGAGCTAAAGAATGCTGGCAGGAGATCTTTCAAGAGCATTTCCTGCAATATCTGTTGCTTTTGGTGAAAAACACAGAGCTTGTTTCCCACAGGAGGGGATAATATCTGGGTTTGTCTGTTTTCTAGTGTATATGTGTGTCTGAGGAAAACAATAACCAGTAAGAGACAGACCTGAGAGCAGTCCAATTTCTGTCATTTCTCACCCTCATGTCATTCCAATCTCAATTGAGCTAGCTATTACATGGAAGGCAGAGAAAACGTTTGCATCCTTTTTGAGACTTGAAAGCCTTAGTTCCCATACATTTTAAACACATGGAGCACAATTCTTCAGAATTTCACCATTGTTTTCCACGGAAGAAAATGAATAATATGACAGTGTGATGAACGTTTCCTTTAAGACAAGGAGAAGAGAAAGGAAGTGTTTGAGGGGGTGTGGCCCTGTTTGCTTTAGCAGAAAATACATATGCAATCCATTATAAATAAGAATAATAAAAAACATCTAGATGTGTAAGTCCAAGAAAGTCAAAAGTAAGTCCCAAGAAAGTCAGATGCTGTCTGAATAAAGAACATGCATGCACACACAATAGCCACACAAACAAAAAACTAAAGCAAATTCATACTGACACTGCAAGTTGCAAAAAAAAAAAAAAACCTATGCACAGACTGATTTTTCACAGTTCGCAGGAGGAGCATATACTGTCACAAGCCCAACTCTGGTGAAAGCAAAGCTGTGTTGTGTTTTTAAAGTCCGTGATCTTGTTCCTCAGACATGCCACACAGAAAGAGATGTCATGGTCGTAAGAAAAACAACAAGGAGGTATGTTTTTTCACATGCATTGTATTCTGTATAACACTGTAAAAGACAGGATTGGTTATACTGAACTGATTCCTGTTCTGTAGGTCTGTACCGTTGTTACGGTTCTCAGTTCGAACGGTCATTCACCAACAACTGTACTTTGAGTACTTGAGAACTTTTCTGCGCGATTCTGTAAACATTCTTACTGAATCCACATTACGAAACATACAGCAATCAGCGCAAAACGATTCACGAGCGAATGACTCTTATGAACAGGTTCTTTTTAGTGAATCAAAGCACACAGCGCAGTCCGTTCTTATCAGTGAATCAAAACACAGCCTACAGAATGACTCTTATGAACAGGTTCTTTTTAGTGAATCTAAACACATGTGAATCATCCGAAACTGAATTACGAACAGACGAAGCACGATTTGATCTGGGGTGGGGCGGTAAAAATTAAAGATATCGTGCCAACAAATTAAAAATTCCTTTCCACGATGTTTTAAAGGGGTCATATGATGCGATTTCAAGTTTTCCTTTCTCTTTGGAGTGTTACAAGCTGATTGTGCATAGATAAGATCCCTGAAGTTGCAAAGACTAAAGTCTCAAAACCAAAGAGATATTCTTTATCAAAGTTAAGACTCTGCCACACCCCCCTACGCAGTTTTAAAACCTGGAAGAATTTTTATTTTAATAAGGTCTGTTGTTAACATTAAGCTACTTGAAAAGACTTTCACGTTTGTATTACAACATAAAGTAGCCTACGCCTGGTCAAATATTTTGAGACTGATTTAAAAAAAAAAGTGAAGAAATGCCACTAAAAATAAAACTTTCTGAATTTTGCAATTAAAGTACCTGCATAGAGAAACAGAAACATCCCGTAACCACAGTGTTGGGCAATCACTACAAAGGAATGCTTGTGTTGTTAGACAGACAAGGACTCATGTTTTTTTTAATGCGCAATGCAAACGAAGCAGCAACTTTCACATTGCGACGTAATGCAAACGATTTCACCACATCTTGAAACCAAGATAAACCGCCCTAATCATTTATTTGCAGCAATTATCGGTAGTTCTGGTACCCATACTCACTTACGGGAGTGGCTTTATGAGAACGACACAGCAGCACGCCTCACTTGAATGAAAGAAGCTGGTGAACGGAACTCAAGGAATAGTTTAGCAGACTTCTAAACTTCAAACGACTCGTCCTCCACCATGGCGTACGCTGCGTATTGGTCAAGCATCGTAAGTAGATCTGTGTCATGATCTGAACTGCACAGAAAACTATTAACTTCTAATATAAAACAAGTCGTAGTGATCAAAGGAGGGTCCTTTAAAGAGTTGACAAATGTAAACACTTCAGGATTAGGTCGATCTTTGTACGTGTACACACGGGATCAGTTATTAAAAAAACAATAGGTTAATATTAGAAGTTGGGCGTAGTCGGATTTAGTGTAGTGAAATTAGGTTTTAATGCGTTTGCATGGATTGTAAAGTTTCTTCAAGTGTTGTGCCGGATACTGGAGTCGCTTTCCAATTGTAAAATCGGAAAGTAGTTCAAAGAATTTAAAGAATGCCATAGGGTTATGCGCTATGAAGATAAACCTAAGTGCAGCGTAACATCAAAGTGTCATCCTAAAAAATAATTTAATTTTATATTCGAAAGTCTTATAATCTAAAATTCAGCGAGAAATTACTGAAATGGAGTCTAGATAAAAAAAAAAAAAAGTAAACAAATAAAAAGTATATATAGAGTAGTTTCTCAAGAATGGTTGCGTTGCTTTAGGCTTGTAGTGTTATATTCCTCAGGTAGACCGTTTAGCCATAATTTTGGGCTAGTAACATGTTGAACCCTTAGGTTGTTGTAAATTGTAAAAAGTCACGTTTCTTTGTTTCTGTCTTTATTTCTTTGTAGAAAGGTGACACTTCATTACATAAACCCCATGTTCCTCAGACCTCAAGGTTCCAGGTAAGATAGAATTTACAGTTTCTTTTGAAATTATAATTCAGTATAGAATTCAAATATGCTACACTCTCAGGGGAAAAAAGGTACAAAGCTGGGGAAAAGGTACATCTTTGTACTATGTTTATTCCTAAATGCTATATTAGGACATACTTGTGCCTAAAGTGTACATAATATTATCTTTTGAAAGGGTACCACCCCAGTGACAGTTTTGTACCTTTTTTTCTGAGTATACAGGGTTCCCACGGTCATGGAAAACATGGAAATATTATATTTTTAAAAGTGTGATTTGATTTCTAGGCACGGAAAGTCATGCAAATCAACAAAATCAGGTTAATTTCTATAGTTAAAAAAAAAAATATATATATATATATTTTTGTCTTTTGTTTTATAGGTATCTGTAAAATATTTAAAATTGCTTGAAATTGCGCTTTGTGAACGTGATGTCTATGACATCTTTTAAAATAATAACAACAAAGTTTGGTATCCAGTTAACATGAGTGACTGGAAAGTTAATCGAAATTCATTCAAATTGCTGCAAATTGGTAAAACAATATGTGTAATGCCTACGTTTTAGAAACTTGCATAATTAATTCATAAAGAATAGAAGTTTCAGGCTTTACCTTCTCATGGAGCATTGACACCCTCTTGTGGACCATGAAAGTCCTTGCCAGTCACAGCCCTGCGATTTAGCTGAATTATTGTCCCCAATCAGTCTAGTGTCACCGATATGAACTGTAATTCTTCAAAGCCATGAATGTTTTATTACCCAGCTCTGCCATGTTTGCACATCCAGCCCATAAAATGTAAAACAGCATTCCTTTGACACAATTTTCCATCTACTTCAGAGAGCTGTGTCTGGAGAGACAGTAGGGGAATGCATTTATGAATGTGCAGTGCATTGAATATATTGATTTTGTATAGCTAGGAATGCACATGTTTGCTAGAAGGTCCCTGCAATGTATCAGTGTCCCATGACCATGTCATGAAATGTTCTCAGGGACATTTTGTTGCTATATATATATATATATATATATATATATATCCTGAAACTCCACTTCATCAGGTGCTCCAGTTACAGTGAAAAAAAACACCAGGCACTGGCCTGGCAATACCTATGCATAATGTTAGCTAGTATATTATGAATATAGAGACATTTTAGGAGGATAAATTAAGAAAGCTTGAACATGTATCGCTGAATGATTCTCAAGATAACACAGCTGGTTTGACTTGCTCTGTGAGCTCGCAGACAAAACACTCAGGTGTGTCTGCAATTATGCATGCCAGATAATCGAATGCATATACATGTCTGTGCTTCAGAGATTTGTTTAACAGCTTAATCCATTATTGTTAATTAGTAGTCTTCTGCCTTCAGGGGTTAATGTTCAAATAACATGAGTTTAAGTGCTTCTGATAGTTACAGGAAGATATATGGGTGTGTCGAAAATGTTGTTTTACAAAATCGTGCTTGTGTGTGTGTGTGTGTGTGAGCACAAACACAGGATGTTCTTCTGCGAGGGGTCGAGCTTCACTTGTTCCTTTATGTATTGAATTACTCAAGTGTGGAGATCCTGACTTTTGATTTGTAGTTTTCTCATATTGGTCTTCTCCCATTTTGCTTATTCAGTACATTGATGTTATATTATTACAATTAATCTTATTATTAGGGTTGGGTATCGTTTTGTTTTTTTCCGATACCGGTGCCAAATCGATACTTTTAAAACGGTTCCGGTGCCTAAATGGTCCCTGTATCTATACTTATTAAAAAAATAAAAAATAAATTCCCCCAAAAATTATGGATTGGCCATTAGCACTATAAACACATGATGTCTGTTTCATTCATACTGGACGCCAGAGTGTGCCCTCACACAGAAAATCCACATATTTAGTCACAGAAGTAGCGGAACTCATGACCCTCCTGGAAATCCCTAATATGGCATCACTATTATAGCTGTAACTGAGTAAACTGCTGCCATCAGAGCAAGTGTAATTACTGCATTCACGCGCTCCTCGGATGCTCTCAGTTCCCGAGTTGTGCTTTAAGTCGGAATGTGAAAACAACATGGACACTCGCGATTTGTATTATTAGAGCTTTCCGACTTGAGTTCTCGCGCATTTTCTCAGTC